TTAGACAAGTGTATTTCTTTTTCAACTATTCGGACTTTTTTGTTAACCAATGAGAATTTTTTAAATTTTAAGGCAGCAAAATTATAATTAAATAAAATGATTGATTATCAATGAGGATTTATTTTCTCCAATTTATATGATCATGTATAACACACGTCGTTTAGGTGACCAATATATACGTTTTGTGATGGGCGACCAAAAAAAAAACGTTTTGTGATGTCATCGGTTTTACAGCATTGTAAACCATTTTCATTTTATTACTTTTAACCCTGCCTCTTATAGGAGTATTAAAGAGAAAGAATTAAAGATATGGAAAATCATCGTTAAGCAAAGACATCTAGTAAAGAGTAACATGTGTAATTTTCCTTTCGTATTATGACGTAAAAAACAAGCAGATTAACTACTCTGGATCAGTATTGACAACCAGATATATTATGAATTGGCAACGGAATAATCTTTACTCAATCCCTCCATCTTTTTAAGTAGCTCTTAATCTCTTATCCAAAAACTTATCTTAATAACTTCAAAGACACGAAAGATAAAGGACAATAAATTATCAAGATATCAACGCGCATGTAAATATAGTAACAAGATCTGTCGTCAAAGAAAAAAATATATGCAACGAGATCTATCTTAATCGTAACACTCGTACATAATCTGAGAAAAACAAGATGCGTTCAAAAATTATTAAATTTGGGCTATAGTTTTGATATCATGTGAAGTTTTTTTTATTATTGATTAAAATAATACGTACATATTAAGGTTTTGCCTTGTACACAAACATAAAACCTAGTTACAGAATATGTATATTACCAAACTAGCCAATAGCCCAATATAATTAACTAAAATTCAAAAGTACTATTATAGATGTATCAATGATTTTGCTATTTCTCTATAAAGAAATTCTATTTTACAACGATTAAATACTCCAGCATATAATGCGGCTGCCGACAGTAGATGTAGGGTATGAGTTCGCGCAGACATATGTAGTCAGCAAAGTGTCATTATATTATATTAATTGACGGACTTATAATAGATCTCTAACTAAGCAAGTTTTATGTCGCACCAACAATTAAACTATCGAGTGTTATGTATATGATGCTTAACACTAAAGAAGTTAAGATAATCTCGAGGGCTATTAAACTAATTCAAACAAGATATATAGATAAATGTGGATAAACACTTGCTTTTGCTTTTTTCATCATATTGCATCGATGACATATATTTTAAATTTTACTTTTTGATATTTATTTACTCTTGAGTCGGATATTTATTGTCATGGGTCAAGTATTCACATTATGATTTATAAAAAGAATGTTCTACTAAACCAATTTATTAGGATCATTATAGCCGGCATTTGGTCCATATTAAACATGATATAATCAGATTTTTGGTTAATTAGTAGGAAATATCAATATTCCTTCTATTTCTTCTTCGTGGACCTGTTTTCTTTCTCATTTTTCCAATCTTGATTAAACCGGTTTCTTCCCACGTGTTCTCTCATTTTTTGGACTAATTGCATTCTGTTACAGATTCTCTTATTTTCAAAATATATGAAATTACAAATCCTTTTGAAAAGCTATCATATCGTCACTTAAATAATATTAAACTTTAAATACTACCAAATACAAATACGAATCATATTCTGGAGTCCTTCTCATCAATATGAGAAAATTGTGGGTACACAACAACATTCATACATAATACATCTGTATATCTCACGATGCTTTTGTTTGTTTGTTTTTTTTTTTTTTTACTTTCTCGTATTTATATGTCCATACAATATGGTATCCAATTAGTTTTGAAGTTAGTAGCAGTTTACAAAATACATGGATAATTAATTAAATAATCAGAATTTTATACTGTAGTTGTTGAGAGAGGCAATGTCTTTTTTCCGGCGTTCAAATATTTTGCAGTGTTCCAATTGGTCATTTTTAAAAACAAGATACTATAATACTATACTAGCTAATGGCACAACAAAATTAAATGAAATACCATATACGATCGTGGAAATCAATTTCACGTAGTTATTCAACTCCATATTTGTATACAGCTTTTAAGCCAACTCTTTTGAAAATATAAGCATTATTATAAGATCGAGCTTTTGGTGGATTGGCCAGCTCTTAAAGCAGAACTAAACTCATTCTATATTTTTAAAGAGTCATTTGAAGATTTTATGTTTATTTTTCATCTCTCGTGCTTTAAATGTTGATGTCGATACTGATCTTGTAAAAGGAGGTCGAACACAAGATTTTTATTTTCTCATATAGGTAGTCATACAGAACTTGTAGAAGATGTTCACTGAACATTCCTCCTATTATTTAGGCATCCTCCTATTATTTAGGTTCTGTTCGTTTCTGTATCTGGATGCTGCATCTAACTGCAAATATTCAAATGTTGTTCGTTTTTTCAAAACAAAATTTGTGTTCATATGCAGCATCTGGATGCAAATTGATTAGCATCTAAAAAATCTGGATATTATAGATGCTGAGAAATAGAGAGTTCAGATGCAGCGTTTGCATCTGGTTCATGTAAAAAACGAAAAATCTTGATTTTCCACCAAAATGTTAATTTTTGGTTTTTCGCCAAAAACAAAAACTCTCCGTTTCCCGCCAAAGACGAAAAATTTTGGTTTCTCGTCAAAAACGCAAAATCTCGATTTCTCGCCAAAAACGAAAACTCTCGGTTTCTTGCAAAAAACGCAAAATCTCGATTTTTCGCCAAAAACAAAAAATCTCGATTTTCCGCCAAAAACAAAAAATGTCTGTTTCTCACCAAAAACGCAAAATCTCGATTTCTCGCCAAAAAAGAAAAATCTCGGTTTCTCGACGAAAAACACAAAAATCTCGATTTTTCGTCAAAAGAGCAAAATTTCGATTTTCCGCCAAAAACGAAAAATCTACGTTTTTCACCAAAAAACTAGGTTTTTCGCCAATAAACAAAATCTCAATTTTCCGCTAAAAGCAAAAACTCTCGATTTCTCGCCAAAAGCGAAAACTTTCGGTTTCTCGCCAAAAACGCAAAATCTCGGTTTCTCGTCAAAAACACAAAATCTCGATTTCTCGCCAAAAACGAAAAATCTCGATTTTCCGCCAAAACGAAAAACTCTCGCTTTTCCGCAAAAACGCAAATCTTGATTTCCCGCCAAAAACACAAAATCTCGATTTCCCATCAAAAATAAAAAATCTAGGTTTCTCGCCAAAAATACAAAATCTCGATTTCCCGTCAAAAACAAAACTCTCGGTTTCTCACCAAAAACGCAAAATCTTGATTTTTCGCCAAAAACAAAAAACTCTCGCTTTTCCGTCGAAAACGCAAAATCACGATTTCTCGCCAAAAACGCAAAATCTCGATTTCTCGCTAAAAAAGAAATAATCTCGGTTTCTCGCCGAAACGCAAAATTTCGATTTCTCGCCAAAAACATAAAATCGATTTTCCATTTAAAACGAAAACTCTTGGTTTCTCGCCGAAAACATGAAATCTCGATTTCCTGCCAAAAACATAATATCTTTATTTTCCGTCAAAAACTCAAAATTCTAGTAAAAAAATTTCCCGTAAAGTATAAAAAGTCATGTTTTCCCACAAAAAATGCAAAAAAAAAAAATTTCATGTATTTTTAAAACTTAATTTGGTAAAAATATTATTTATTAAAAAATAATAATTCTTTTTAGTTATTTTATATATTTTGCATCCAACTATTTTTCTAAATTCACAAACGAACAATTTAGTATCTAGACGTAGCATCTTGATGCAAAACCTAGTTTCAAAAACAAACAATATCTAGATATTGTATCTAGATGCTGATCTAAATGCAAAATCTAGATGCACCATCTAGATAAAAAAACGAACAGGACCTTAGTCATATGTGGTCTAATAGATGAGTTGTTAAAAAAAAAAATAATTTTAAACCTGGATTTTTTGGTTCTATGGCATACAAATGTAAAATACACCACAATAGCACTATACAAACAATTGTTTCATATTCATACCAAAAGATATTCATGCTTCCCATTCTAGCAAAGATGCTTACCAGCATGAAAGATATTCTAAGAATGGAATAAAGATATTGACCATTGCATTTTCTTGTATATTCATGCTTGCATTAAGATTCCTCACGGCAGAAAAAAAAACTCATTCAATTTTGTAATAAAACATATTAATATTGAGTGAGAAAGGAATAATGTCGTAGCAACGAATTCTCTAATCTCCGTTGCTTATGATTATTAATAATCGATTTCTTTTGAACACCATGCTTGTAAATAAGCATATCAAAGCTCAGGGGGAATGAACTTTCACTAAAATAATCTCTCAATTTCGCATGTGAATCTCTTTTTATCTATCCTGGCTCACTTTTCGGGCCCCACTTCCCCATGCAGCCCACAACATATTCATAACCTTTTTATTCCGTCATGAATATAACGCTACAGTAATATTCCCTTTAATAGTCATAATTTTCCATGTTTTAAATTTATCTACCAAACTCTGGGATTTATTTTAATATGGAAGTTGCAAGAAAATAATAATTATCTAGCAAAGACTTCTGGTTATAATTGGTATGTCAAGTGCAATGGAATGCAAATTCACAACGTGAATACCATTCATCTAATAATCTTTTAACATAATAAGGATGTTGTTGATCTATTTTTTCTATAATCGCTAAATTGATGCTGAAACCAATGGAAATGTTAATATGCGATATTTTTCTTAAAAAACAAAAATTCTTTTTGTCTCTTGCATGAACTTTCATGGGAATTTAAGTTGACCCACAACATACACACACAGAAACCCATATTATTCCCATACACACACACACAGAAACCCATATTATTCCCATACACCTCCCCATATATTAGTATTCTTATCTCCTTACAGAAAACAATACAAATCATAATAAAGGGAAGAAAATAAAAATTTAAATATTAATACATACATGCACTTGATGTTTTCTTATTTCCCTCTTGTCTCTCTATATATACACGCATATATTCACACACGTTCACACATACACTAATCTCTCTCTCGATTCCCAAAATTTCACAATTTTCCTGTGATTTCTTTATTTTCTTCTTCCGTTTTTCAAATCAAAAACCAATGGACGCTGTGAGTAGCGTAGACGAGAGCTCGACGAGCACAGATTCAATCCACACTCCGGCGAAGATTCCGCCGTTGACGTCGTCAAGAAAGTCGTCATCTCCGGCGAGTTTACACAGAATGGGAAGCGGATCAAGCGTCGTTTTGGATTCCGATAACGGCGTAGAAGCCGAATCAAGAAAACTCCCGTCGTCGAGATTCAAAGGCGTAGTTCCTCAGCCAAACGGAAGATGGGGAGCTCAGATTTACGAGAAGCACCAGCGCGTGTGGCTCGGCACTTTCAACGAAGAAGACGAAGCGGCGCGTGCTTACGACGTCGCCGCTTACCGTTTCCGAGGCCGTGACGCCGTCACGAATTTCACGGCGGAAACTAACGGAGACAAAGACGAGGTCGATTTCTTGAACGCGCATTCGAAATCCGAGATCGTCGATATGTTGAGGAAACACACTTACAAAGAGGAGTTAGAACAGAGGAAACGGAACCGTGACGGTAACGGTAAAAGGAAAGAGACGGCGTTTGTAACGGCTGTGACGGGGTTTAAATCGGCGGAGTCTCTGTTTGAGAAAGCGGTTACGCCTAGTGACGTCGGGAAATTAAACCGTTTAGTGATACCGAAACATCAAGCGGAGAAACATTTTCCGTTACCGTTAGCTGGCGACGTCTCCGTGAAAGGGACGCTGTTGAATTTCGAGGACGTTAACGGGAAAGTGTGGAGGTTCCGTTACTCGTATTGGAACAGTAGTCAAAGCTATGTGTTGACTAAAGGTTGGAGCAGGTTCGTTAAAGAGAAGAGACTCTGTGCCGGTGATTTGATCAGTTTTAGAAGATCCAACGGTCAGGATCGACAGTTGTATATTGGGTGGGAGTCGAAATCCGGGTCGGATCAGGATACGGGCCGGGTTGTCATGAGATTGTTCGGCGTTGACATTTCAAAGTCGCTAAACAACGCCGTCGTGAAGGAAGAGGAAACGGAGATGTTGTCGTTAAGGTGTTATAAGAAGCGACGCGTCTTCGATGCCTTTGTAACAACAGTTTAACAACTCTTTCTCTGTTTGTTTGTTTTTTGTAATTTCATGAACAAAAAAAAGAAAATATATTTAACCTTTTTTTTGGTCTTTAACTTCTTCTTCTTGCCGAGATTATTTTTGTTCCTTTTTTTTTTGTTCTTTAACCTTTTTTCTTCCTCTTTTGTCATTTTTAACCTTTTTTTGGTTCTGTTCAAAAAAAAAGATTATTTTTGTTCTAACAAATGACAAAAGTAATTAAAGCGTTGAACAAATTTTGTGTTAATATGCAATGTACGGATGAATTAATAAATTACTATAATAATTATTATAATGGGCCTAATTAGTTAACGGCCCATTAAAGTTTTCTTCTCCATATTGACCCTTCCAAATTTTTTCAGTCACTAGTAGAAAATGTTGTTCAGTATTTCTCAATCCCGTTCTTTATTTAACGGCGATCGATTAACGCCGTCGAGATACTTCACCGGAGCTCCGGCTAAATTCTCCTCTCTCCCGCTCTCAGGTTTGCTTTTTTACTGTTATTCTTTACTTTGTTTGTTTCGTCATGTTAAGTTTGGAGAAATTTGATGATGAAGGAATTAGTAGAATACGAATACGAGTCGTATTGTTAGTGTTCAAACTCTGTTGTTCATCTAAAATTGAAAACTTTATAGTTGCTAAATCATAATTTGAATTCGGTGTATAAGGTTTGATGTTTTTTTGCATCTTCAGCTTCTTCTTCTTCTTTTGTTGCAGGCAAGAAGTCATATTCTCCTAGAATAAGAAGGTACTAATTGTTTATACTAATTGAATTTAATAAACAAATTTAATTCATTTGGTTCATAAACATGATATGTTGATGATGAAGTTTTAATTTTTTTTAAAAAAAAATCCAAATTTATATGGAATTTGCTGCGTTTTTTAGGTTTCAAGAACTCCAAAACTCTTTGGAAGCAAGAAGAAACCCACCTCTAATATGTGGAAGAGTATCTCCTCGTCTTCCTGTTCCTGATCACGTACCAAAACCTCCATATCTCGAGTCTAGCGAGTTACCAAAGATATCAAGTGAATATCAGATTCCTGACTCCAAAGGCATTGTGAAAATGAAAGCAGCGTGTGAGCTTGCTGCTCGTGTATTAGAATATGCAGGAACTTTGGTTAGAGTAAGTAAAGATTGGTTTTTTTGCTTCTTCTTGTGAATCTCTAATTGAATCCCTCTTGTTTATGTTCTATTGAATGGTTTCTGCAGCCATCTGTTACAACTGATGAAATCGATAAGGCGGTGCATCAGATGATAATTGAGTCTAAGGCTTATCCTTCACCTCTCGGATATGGAGGATTCCCTAAGAGTGTTTGTACTTCAGTTAATGAATGCATGTTTCATGGGATTCCGGATTCTCGTCAGCTACAGGTCTAGACTCTGGAGTCTAAAACTGCTTCTTAAGTATTCTTAAAGAGAATTTTCTTGTAGTGTGTCACTAATCAATTCTTGTTTTCAGAATGGTGATATAATAAACATCGATGTTGCAGTTTACTTGGATGTAAGTCTTTGTGTTTCTTTTGCTAACCTGCAATAATTTTTTTTACCTTGTTTTGTACTTCAAAATTCTTCTTAACACGTCAAATCAGGGATATCATGGAGATACTTCAAAGACTTTCTTGTGTGGAGAGGTCAATGAAAGCCTTGTACAACTTGTCAAGGTTGATTGATTCTCTTTCTGCCTCTTAGAATGACTTGAAAACTTTTTATGAAACCACTAGAGACTGGCTAAATTATTGTTCTTAATAAGGTCACAGAAGAATGCTTGGAGAAAGGTGTATCGGTTTGTAAAGATGGAGCAAGCTTTAGACAAATTGGAAACATAATGAGGTAGTAATAATAATACCAGCCGGATTCAATAAAACATCGAAGAAAGTTTTCAAGGAGAAGTTTCAGTGATTTCCAATTTTCAATAGTGAGCATGCTGAGAAGTATAGCTATAATATGGAGCGCTTTATAGGGCATGGTGTAGGAACGGTATTACACTCGGAACCTCTTATATATCTTCATCAAAACTGTAAGTAACAAAAGTGATTCAGAAACCGCAACAAGTCTTCTTAATGGTCACTGAATGAAAACTGTCTTCTTTTTTTTTGTGTGCAGATGATTACGAACTTGAATATATGATTGAGGGTCAAACTTTTACGCTTGGTGAGTGAGCATTCTCTAATAGAACTTGATGAATGCATAACATAAGTCTTTTATAAAAGTGATTGTTCCTTTGTTTGCAGAACCGATTCTCACTGTTGGAACTACAGAGTTTGTAACATGGCCAGACAAATGGACAATTTTGACAGCTGATGGTGGTCCTGCCGCACAGTTTGAGCATACAATTCTTATCACCACAACTGGTGCAGAAATTCTCACGACGTCATGAAATATATTGTTCACAACGTTCAACAATTTATATCACTGATCATTCATGTCTCTGTGTCGAAAAAGGTTAAGTTAAGTAGTTAACTTAACCATTCAAGCTTAAGGCAAGCTTCTTGTTAACAATGGCGAAAAGAAAAGTGTGATTATAATAAGCTTCATGGCTATAAATATTCCTCTGTTACTACCAACACAAACATCAACGAAGATCAATCATTCCATGTAGCCAAAACGAATATTCTTATGAATCAACTTCACATGATGAGTACCACAGGGAATTTTGTGACTCTATCATTGTGCAAGACAGATAGACAAATTTGATTTATTTAGAATTCTCTTCATGTCGGGGCCTAAATATCTTGTTAGAATAACGAATTCAAAAGTTTCACAAGTCGCACGTTTTTCATATTTCGTTTTTTTTTTTTGTTGTAGTATAGGAACCGGCCATAAGTATTCAACTTCGATCCAGAACTTGGACCATTTCCCACACATTCTAACACTTAAATCAGGTACCGACCATACAAACCAAACCCAAATTCCCCAAAAACAACAGTCCCATTCTGGAAATTTACGCTATATATACACATAGACACATTCGTACAACTCAACTCACTCATTCTTCATAAAAAACCCATTTCATCAAATCGCACAAAAGTTTTTCAGAGTCTTTTTTCTTTGACCAAATGGCTTCTCTCCATTCAATCTCTATGACCACTCTCAACAATCTCTCTTGTAATCACCAATTTCATCGGACCTCTCTTGTCGGTTTCTCAAGATCTTTCCAGCATCTTGGGATATCATCTAACGCTCCAGATCTTTCCTCTCGATCAAGTTCCATTCCCACGAACCTCACTCTGTCTCGAGCTCTCTCCCAGAACTCGGGAAATACCGAAATTTCCAGACCAAGTAAGTTAACCCTTTTTGTCTTTTGCTACAACTTGTGTCGGAGATCGAATTTCTTGTTAAAAGATTGATCTCTTAGCTCCAAAACCAATTCGAAAATCAGCAGAATTGACAAATCAAAACATGATCTTTGAGCTCAAAACCATATAACCAATTCAGAAATTTGGAAACTTGATGATCTAAACATGATCTTAGAGCTCAAAACCATATAATCAGTTCAAAAATTTGCAAACTTGATGATCTAAACATGATCTCAAACCTCACAAAACTGAATTCTTGTTTCTCTCTCTCACAGGTAAAGTTCAAGAACTCAACGTGTACGAGCTCAACGAATTAGACCGAGACAGCCCAAAGATTCTAAAAAACGCCATGAGCCTAACGTTCGGTCTCGGCGATCTCGTCCCGTTCACCAACAAACTCTACACCGGCGACCTCAAAAAATGCGTCGGAATCACCGCCGGTCTCTGCGTCGTGATCGAACACGTCCCGGAGAAGAACGGTGACCGATACGAAGCCACTTACAGCTTCTACTTCGGCGAATACGGCCACTTATCCGTACAAGGACCGTACTTGACTTACGAGGACTCGTTCCTCGCCATTACCGGTGGCACCGGAATCTTCGAAGGTGCCTACGGACAGGTCAAGCTTCAACAGCTTGTGTTCCCGACAAAACTCTTCTACACTTTTTACCTTAAAGGCATCGCTGGTGATTTGCCGGCGGAGCTCACCGGAACTCCTGTTCCACCGTCGAAAGATGTGAAGCCGGCCGCAGAAGCTAAGTCACTGGAGCCAAACGGAGTTATTAGTAGCTTTACTAGTTAAATTCATTGTATTAGTCCTCTGTTTCTAGAAAAAGTTATTCAATTTGCATAACATGTTATTGATAAACAGAACATATATATAACACGTGCAATAAAGTTGGGAACTTTATATGTTTAGAAATAGAGAGTGAAAACTGGAATTCACAAACTAAAGAATCTACAAATCTGAGGGTAAAGGGTTTAGGATTCGAGGAAGAGGAGTGCAGTGAAGAGGATGAGCCAAAGCCAGAAAAGCTCTTCCGGTAGCTTCCTCCATGTTGACTTTATCTCCTTGGATTTGCCAGTCAAAACACTGCAACATCACTCCAATGGCTGTTCCTACTAAGATATAAGCAAGATTTGATCCAGGACATGATCTCCTTCCAGCACCAAAAGGGAGGAAGTTGAGTATTTTCTCTCTTCCCACCTCCTCTTTCTCTAGAAACCTCTCTGGTTTAAACTCATCAGGATCTTGCCAAGAATCAACATCTCTCATCACAGCGTAAGCGTTGATAACAAGTGGTGTGCCTTTAGGTATGTAGAACCCTCCGATCTTACATTCTTGTTCGAATTCCCTTGGCAAGAGAGCTCCCGGAGGATGCAATCTTAGAGATTCTTTGATGACTGCTTGCAAGTAAGGGAGTTTTGGTAGATCAGTTTCTTGGATCAGCCTTGTTTTCCCTACCACGGAATCGATTTCTTCTCTCAGTTTCTCCAAGATCTTAGGGTGGTTGATGATTTCAGCCATTACCCATTGTGCTGTTTTTGAAGAAGTGTCACCAGCTCCAAAGTAAAGCTCCTACAAATTGCAAAGATTTACTTAGTTTAATGGTTTTCAACTGCATTAAGGGTGTGTGCTTACCGCTAATAAAGCCTTGATGTGGTTCCTTGTGATGTTACACTCTGCATCCTCGTCTCGATAAGCTGCCAAAAACGCGTCCATAATTTCACAACCTTGATGCTCCTCCTCTTCTTCTTCGCATTTCACAATCATCTTTTCCAGGAGCTCATCAAATCTGTATGAAACATTCATTATCTCCCTTTTGAATGGTGAGATCCCGAGCTTCTCAAGCGGCTTACGCAATAATTGTCCCAAGAAAATCTTCTGTGTCAAGGAAGCGAACTCGAGACTAAGTTTAGTGACTTTGGCCTCATCGCTCTCCCTTGAAAAACTCCTCCCCATGCTCATCTTCCCGAGGATACAAGTAACAAGTCTCATCGCTTCCTCACCGATCTCCACGCTCTCTTTCTTCATCGCCTTATCAAGCAGGTTTCTGTAGAACCGGTCCATCTCAACTTCACGAACGGCTCGTGACCGCTCCAGAGCCTGAAGTCCGAGCATATTAGCAATGACGAGCTTCTTCATGAACTTCCAGTAATCTCCGTAGGGAGCTTTGATGAATCCGGAAGTTCCGAACACGAGGCACTCATCGATCCCAATAGCACCATGAGAGGAGACGTTCTTGTCATGGTTCTTGAAGATCTCGTGTGCCACTGAGGCAGAGGAGACGAGAATGATTGGGACGTTGAAGATGCGGAGATGGAGGAAAGGTCCATACTTGGATGAGATTTTTTGAAAAGATTTGTGGATTGAAACTGAGAAAAGAAGGTGTAGATGACCAATGATGGGAAGAGAAGGAGGGCTTGGAGGTAGATCAAAGACATTCTTTGGTTTCTTGAAGAACAAGAAAAAGAGAGAGAAGGTTGAGATGAGGCCTAATAAGAGGATTGAGATGAAGCCATTTTCAAAGTCAACGCTGGCCATTGCTTTCTATATTGTTGCTCAAAGAGCGAAGAAGAGGGAGATGAAACAGAGGGCTTCTTGAATGAATCTCTACGAAGGTGAAATAATGGAGATCTGAAAGTATATATTTTAATTGTATATATCAGAAGTTGGTTGCAATAATTGTGATCTTGTTAATGATTTCATTAAATAATTCCAAGGTGACAAACTAAGATTCTCGTTTCTCTTTCACATGTGAGAAGTTGACTTGCTCATGTTGAAGAGTTGTGTCTGTGATGGTTTCTTTGAATTTAGGCTTTGATGGTAGTGTAACAAAAGAATTATGGTTCTGCACTTTGTTACTATACATAAAAAAATATGGAGTGATATAAACGTTGGATTATTTGTTTTCCTACAAAATATTATATATTTCTATTTAAATTGCCAAAATGTTATCAATCAAATCCGGTATGTGAGTTGAAATGCTTGTGTTATGTTTACTCATTGATAGGGCAAGCTCTTCTATTCTGGTTTAACCAGCCGATTAACTGATAATGCCAAAGTCAAATACCATTGTACATATTTTGCAAATTCCTTATTTCATAAATGCACAAAGCACATCAAAATCGATTAACATAATTGTGATGGTAATGCTACTTAAAATTTTACAAGTTACTTACATTTTCAGTACTGAAACTGACTGATCGACTAGGGATTTGCAGACTTGGTTACGCAAATTTATTTTTGCTACTTTGGTATGTTTCCGTGACTTGGAGATCTCGTACTCCTCTCTGTAATAATAACTCGGTTTTCAGTGAATAATGCTCTAGCTTACGCTTAGAGACCAAGACCATGGAAACAGAGTCCGAAATTCCTCAAACCGGCCACTTTCAAAATAATACGCACGTGCAACATGATCCAATATATTTATATTTATTATACACATTCACATTCGTAGACTTTTTTTTTTGGACAACATTAACATTCGTAGACTACAGACTCACTCCATTATAAACCAGGTTCCCCATTCTCTTCTTCAATAATCAATCAATCAAAACCAAAAGTTTCAAGTCACCCAACAAAAAAGTTTCAAGTCTCTTTGAACAACATGGCTTCTTCTTCGATGTCTCTCGAATCCATCTCTATGACTACTATCAACAATCTCTCCCGTGATCATCACTTTCATCGCAGCTCTCTTCTTGGTTTCTCCAGATCTTTCCAAAACCTTAAGATCTCATCTAACGGTCCAGATTTCTCCTCCCGTTCCAGATCCACTCCCAAGTATCTCTCCCCTACTCGAGCTTTCTTCTGGAATTGGGGCAAGTCTGAAAATTCCAGACCAAGTAAGTTCACAGATCCTTTGTCTTGTCTTTCACTACAATCTTTCCGCAGATTTGACAAATTGTCAAAAGACTGATCCTGTCTTACAAGCTCACAGGTCAAAATGCCCACTTCATAAATTTGCAAAATTGATTGTCAAAAACATAATCTCAGATCTTATAAACAATGACCCAGTTCAGAAGTTTGACTTTTTAATCTTCCATAAAAAATAAAAATTATAAATTTGAGAAAAATCGAGATCAAAATCTCGTGTAAAAGAGCCACCTTTAAGCTTAAAAAACACAAATACCGAACTCAGAATCGAGTCTTGAATTATTCAGGCAAAATTCAAGAACTCAACGTGTACGAGCTCAACGAAGGAGATCGAAACAGCCCAGCAGTTCTAAAACTCGGCAAGAAACCAGAGCTCTGTCTCGGAGATCTTGTCCCATTCACCAACAAACTCTACACCGGCGATCTCAAAAAACGCGTCGGAATCACCGCCGGTCTCTGCGTCTTGATCCAACACGTCCCGGAGAAGAACGGTGACCGATTCGAAGCCAATTACAGCTTCTACTTCGGCGAATATGGTCACTTGGCCGTACAAGGACCGTACTTGACTTACCAGGACACGTTCCTCGCCGTCACTGGTGGCTCAGGGATCTTCGAAGGTGCGTACGGACAGGTTAAGCTTCGTCAGCTTGTGTATCCGACGAAACTGTTCTACACTTTTTACTTAAAGGGTATTGCTGATTTGCCGTTGGAGCTCACCGGAACGGCGGTTACGCCGTCGAAGGATGTGAAACCGGCGCCGGAAGCTAAGGCGACGGAGCCGGGGGCAACCATAAAAAACTTTACTAATTAGTTTTTGTGTTTTTCATTTTCTCGTGTCCGTATAATAAATTGCTTCTTTTTATAAAATAAAGGTTTTGAGTACTATGGAATCTTTTGATGAGTGTGTGAGTTTAGTTAAATGCTGTGTTGGAGGAATAAAAAATATTTATTTTAGATGTGACTTTTGTTGTTTACGCCAATTGCCAAATTCGTTACAACGTGGAACGTAACATGGTAAAACATTTTTCAAATAAGTTTTTATCTATGTTCCCTTAAATAAAAAACATAAATAACTTAGTTAAATATGGTAACTTTTTGGTTGGCATTAAATTGTGAAACTAAAACGTAACTCAATTAATGCAAACTAGGATTAGTTCGAGAAGTAATGTGGTTAGCGCAAGTTAACATTACCGAAATTAATATGTCTATGAGTCTACCAGTCAAAAAGCATGTGTTGGCTTTGCAAAAATGAAAAAACAAACATGTGTTGGAAGAAAATCCGTTAGCGGGTTATCCGTCCGAGGACAAAAAAACATATGTATAGATAATCAGTTTTAGTTTACGTGATACTTTACATTTCCAATGCAAAAAACATATGTATTCTGCATTGTTTTTGAAATTTGGTTGAGTTAATCAGTTTTAATTAAACAATAAATCATGTTTCAATATAAAAAATAATCAAAAGTAATGATTTTATGGGATTTGGAAATATATGTGTACAATTCTTAAAGATCACTTAAAATAAAATCTATGAAGTTATGAAATATCAGTCTGGTGTTTAAACACTCTTTCTAAGTAAAGTATAAGACCATGTTTATCAAAGAAACTTTGGTGTGTTAATAAAAAAACTCAGTTTAATCAATAAAGTAGATTATCAAAGCAGGATCGATCCTTAAATTGGGATTAGAAGGAACGATCCTCCTAGCTGAGGTGGCGATATTCTATTGGCTAAGAGTTAAGAAGTTTCATCCCCGACTAAATTTTCTCTTCCCTAAAAAAATCAAACTTCTCTTCCCCGACTAAATTTTCTCACCACTCCGTCGCTTCCGTTCTCGGCGATTACCGGCGATTACCGGCTTCCAAGAGAGGAATCGAAATCCTGCCGCCTCCGTACTCGTCCAGACTTCTGGTGAACAGCAGCACAGTTTCTCCGTCAGAACCACGAGACATGCAAAATTCTGAAGAGGCCGATTTCTTCAGCTTTTGGGATCCGAGGTAATTCGGTTGCTACGATCAACTCTTTTTTGTTCTTAAAACATGCATATTGTCCCTTGGAGATCGTTTTGTTAGTGGGTTCCAATTTGATATTCGCTTGGGTATGATTTGAGAATATGGTTTTCGATGTGGGTTTATCTGGTTTGATTCGATTGTTTTTTAACATAATTAGGTTGGGTATGATTTGGATTTGGGGTTCTTTGATATAATTTTGTTGCCTGTTTGGTATGGTTGTGATATATGAATTGTTTGAAAAAAATTGTAAGATCTGAATTGTTGATATCGATTGTTTCTAATTTTGTATGGTTTGATGGTTGTGTAGAGTTTCGATGACATGATTTGTATGCTGGTTGTATTAGAAATGGTAGAATCTGTTGTTAGTTTGAAATGGTTTTCTTTGATTGATCGATGCTAGTTATAGTTGTGTTTAGGCGCTAGTTTGACTTGTATATTTGGTTCTGATCTTTTGATGTTCAGCGTTGGTTGCAGGTACATCTCCTCTTCATCATACAAACGAGTTCATCTACTCTAGTTTGTTAAGGTAAGTTTTCTTAACTACATAATGGTTAGTATAGGTTTGTGAGTTGGATTTAGTTAGTTTGGTTATAATAAATGCGTAATCACTAGTTTATAGGTGAGTTAGGTAGTAATTGCTTTGTGCTGGGTAGATAGAGACGAATGTGTGATGAATGCTTGAAGGTGTGATGATTGCTTGTCATGTCGATATGGTTGTGTTTGTGTTCAATGCATTTTCATATTTTCTTTGTTCTTTTTTTCTTTGCAACTTCTTTCCTCTTCATTCAATACAGACATTTGGTTCATAAAACGAGTTCATCATTTCTGCTTTTTCTTCTCATTGCTCTTCTTTGTTCTCGGTCCTTCTTCCATCTTTGGTCTTTGTTCTCTTTCTTTTCTCTCGTCTTTTTCTCTTTCGTTTTTCTCCTCTTTGTTGTCTTTGTTGTCTTTGTTTTTTGTCTTTCTTTCTTTGTTCTTTGTTCTTTCATTTGTATCCTTTTTCTCTTCTTCTCTTTCCCGGATATGTCTTCATATCCTTTCACTCAGCCTTCTTCTGAACAGTCAACAAGAGAGCATCTTTGCGTTAGGATCATCGCAGCCACCAGTGTTCATTCCTCAAGCTTCCCAGGGTGATGCAAGCGTTGGTGTAGACAAGGACAAGGAAAGAAACGCAAGGAGGCAATGGACGCCGAGTGATGATATTCTCCTCATCAGCTCGTGGCTCAACACCTCCAAAGATCCTGTTGTTGGAAATGAGCAAAAGTCAGTGGCGTTTTGGACGAGAATCTCAATCTACTTTGCTGGAAGTCCAAAACCAGCAGGAACCGTTAACCGCGAGCCCATTCAATGCAAACAACGTTGGCAGAAGATCAATGAAGCTGTATGTAAATTCAGTGGTTGCTACGATGCTGCAACAAGAGAGAGGTCAAGTGGCCAAAATGAGAATGATATTCTCAAAATGGCCCACGAGATTTACTTCAATGACAACAAGAAGAAATTCACATTAGAACACGCTTGGAAGGAGCTTCGTTATGATCAAAAATGGTGTGATCAAACAAGTTCAAAAAAAGATGGCATTTCTAAAAGACCAAGGTGTGAAGATGGTGGTCAGTCCCCAGCTGATGTTGAAACCGGGAAAAGGCCTCCTGGTGTTAAGGCCGCAAAGGCGAAAGGGAAGAGGCCCATGGTGGATCCAAATGCTATGGCAAAGTTTCAGGAAATGTTGCAATTAAAGGAGAAAGATATGGTCACAAGGGAGAGACTTCTGAGAATGTCAATGCTTGACAATATCCTTGCGAAGAAAGAGCCCTTATCCGAGTCCGAAGAAATAATGAAGGAAAGCTTATTAAAGAATTGTTCTGAACTACTTTTCTTTGTGTTTACTCGGGTTTGTTGTTGACTTTAGCTTCCATTTTGTGTCGAGTTTGAGTCAAGTTCCTATGTTCTCTATGTCAAGTTTGTTGTTGTTTTAATTAAGTGTCATGTAAGGATTTGGTTGATCATATATGGCAAAAGTTTGGTCACTTAGTGCGTAATTAAGTTTAATTGTTAAAATTGTGTTGTTTCAATATTCTGTTAAGTTTGTAATGTTTTCAAATTATAATAAATGTAATATTAACAATTTCATTTTCAATAATCAATCTTTTTTTAATTAAATTTTTTTAAGAAATTCATCACAGTTTCTCCAATGTACCTAAAAAAAACATGAGTTTCTTCTTAGTTTCTTATTCCAATTTTACTAATATAATAATAAAGAAGAAACCAATTAATGTTTCTTTGATAAACATGCTCTAAGACCATCTTTATTGCTAGTTTCTTGTTAGATTTTTTAAACTTTAATGGGTTTTTTTTTTAATTTAAAAAATGGTTAAAACACAAGGATTGATCCTTATTTGGGTACATTAAGAATCGATTCTAAGAGATGTTGTGGCAGGCTCCCATTGGTTCAAGCAGCATCGACCAAATTTTCTTGGATAATTTTTTTTTATCTCGACCATTTCTTTTTCTTCCTCAGAAAAAAAATCCTTGGACTTCAATTTTCTTTGACACAATTGTTTTTACCTCTACGTTTCTCTCTCCAATTTCCTGCGCCACAGAATTCTGGATTTCCCCAAATCTCTGCAACCTTTGATCAAACGGCGATTGCAGATTTCCGGTAAAGCTGAAAGACGGAGATGTGTTGAGGTAGATCCAGAAAATGGTGAGATTTATCCTCCAAGAGGTGGAGGAGAAGGCAAACGAGATCGGTCTCTGCTGAAGAAATACGTTTCTCAGTGTTCTGTTTCCCAGATCTCTCTATCTTCTCTCTATTTCAATTGCGATCGATTTTGGTAAACAGTGGTCGTGATAAACTCTACCAATGGACCTCACAATATATAGGGTTTCTTAATAAACTTTCTAGCCCAAATTTATTATTAAAATATTTTTAAGAAACTCATTAGGGGGAGTTGGCGATAATCATGCTCTAATGTGTGAAGGAATGAAAATCTTGTATTTTGAAGGTACTGTATGTAGAAGGAAAAACTAGGTGAGTACTTAAATAAAAGCCCAAGTATGAAACATTGATAAGGCCGTATAAAAATTGGGCCTGTTAAGTCTCTTATATTAGCATAATGGTGTCGCTTTGTTTTGCTGCGGTACGGTGAGGGGCTGATTTGAATCACTGATTTAGCGATGAATATGGCTTTTTAAGACTTCGAATCCACTATTTATAATTTACTTCTCTAAATCTTCATTTTCCAACTAATCTAGTTGGCAAATATATTAAGTAAGAACACATTTCAATCTAATCACAACAGATAAGCTCATCATCAAACACCAATCTCGATTTCTAGAGACGACCATTTTTTCTTTAACAGCTATGAGAGCTCTTAAGTTTAATATTACATTTAATCTCATATAAAATTGAAAGTAAAATGGATTTAACAGTTGGCAAAATAAGAAGAAGGATAAAACAACAGCATAACATATAAAACGATAATTAACATAAATCTATGTCTTGATTGGGAAAGGCTTTGGCTCGCCATTATATTGGAGAGAAATATTCGCATATTTGGTTTACTTGTAATTGACATAATTGAATTACCGGTCAAAACACAAGATATTTGTATTTATGGATAAGGTTATAACGAATTCAACAAGGTATATCAAAGTCCTACGACATTTTAATCCTTTTTTTTTTATTAATATACTAGTAATATATATGAGGCTTTGATTTTTTTTTTTTATATGTAGGGCCTTTCTCCTCCCATGTTTCGGCTATCTACGAAGAGACAATTTGGCTTTTCATTTTGGGATATTGCAAAAATATTTTTAACGTTTTATTTAAATTTTGTATGGGTGAAATTAATGCTTATAAAACAAAGTAGCTCATGCACGTTTGTTTTTTCATTTCTTTTGCCGGCTGATATATAGGATTTGGGGATTTGCATATTCTTTCCCACGTATTGAATTTATGAACGACCTAATAACCTTAAAAAACAAAAAAAACTTGTTAAAAGATTAGATCAAGAAACGGAGTTTGTAAATCCTTGTTACACAAAAAAAAAAAAAGCGGGAGTTTGTGAATCCTTGTTACACATAAAAATAATATAAGAGAATGTATAATTTTTAAGTCTATACCAAAATTCGAATTCTGTTCTATTCGTATGGAAAGCATTTTCGAATTTATTAATATTGTTTTAAGTAGATTATCTCATCTCTCTGATCTCATATGCGACATATCACATAACAAACCATCCATAATTTACATTTACAGGTAAAAACATTGACATTTTGCGTTTATAATAAAAAAAAGTAAACATTGACATTCTGAGTATATATAAGAATCCACAGACCACACTTGGTTGGATATACCCATATGTTTACAGAAAATTCCTACCAAAAAAAGGCATCGCATTTGCGAATATTCACCACTCCCCATCTATACTAACTACTACAACAAGACAAATCTCCTTCATTTTCTACTTCGGCAATCAAAAAACTTATTATATACTACATTTCTTTTTACACATATACCAAACATATATGTTAATTATTCTATACTTATTCTATAAATAAAAGAAAGATTCGACTTGCAATGCGACGGCTCGACTTCTATGTCAAAATAACGATCCTTGAGAAACCTGATAGAGCCATATACTTGTTCTCTTTATAAAGAGACATAAACCCATCTTCTTGTTTAAAGAGTACTGTATAGTTATAATTATATATTAAACAAAAAATAAGGTGAATCAATCTCTAAGACCACCATGATTAAGAACTTGAGCAATATGAAGAATTACAATCAGAAACGTGAGAGATGTTCAGAGTACATCGAAGCTCTTGAAGAAGAACGCCGCAAGATCAATGTCTTCCAACGCGAGCTTCCTCTTTGCTTAGAGCTTGTCACTCAAGGTATAAATCTATATATACATATGCATCTATATATGTGGATAAAATACTATATAGATCCAATGATGTTAATTATTCATGGGTTTGGAAATTTAGCGATCGAGGCATATAAGAAGGAGATATCAGGGACGACAACAGAGAACTTGTATGGACAATCGGAGTGCTCGGAGCAGACCACCGGAGAATGTGGGCCCGTTTTGGATCTGTTCATACCAATCAAACACTCTTCTACCTCTACAGAAGAGGAAGAAGAGGAGGTTGATGAAGATGATGATGATGAACACGAATTTCATGAAGATATAGATTTCAATGACAAGAACATGAAATCTGAATGGCTCAAGTCTGTTCAGCTCTGGAACCAACCTGACGCTGTTCTTTCTAATAAGTTGGTAAGATTCTAATTAAGGGTTTGAATCTTGATTCTGCATTTGACTTTTACATGTACAAATAAGAGAATAATTTTGGCAAAAAAAATAAAGTAAACGTAAAACTATTAAGGCATAACGTGAATTCTCAAGTATATCTACGTTTTCATGTTTTCAGGAACGTTTAGAAAAGGAGACAGAAACAATCGTGGAGGTAATCAAAGGAAAAGACGGAGGAGTGTCTCAACAACCGCCGTGTTATGAAACGAGCAACGGGAAATACGGCGAAGGAAGCGACGGCGAGAAGAAGGATCAGCCGCAGAAAGACGATGGCGGCGGCGGAAGAGGGCAGAGAAAGCAGAGGCGTTGTTGGTCGCAGGAGTTGCACAGACGATTCTTGAACGCTCTTAAACAGCTTGGTGGTCCTCATGGTGAATTTCTTGATTTTACTTTTTATTTTTTTTTAATAACAATAGTATTTTGATTAGGGTTCATGAAATTTAGTTGATTCGTATATTTTACTGGAATATTGCAGTAGCTACACCAAAACAGATAAGAGAGCTAATGAAGATTGATGGATTGACCAACGATGAAGTCAAAAGTCATTTACAGGTTAGTGGTAATAGTTTAGAAGAAAAAAAACCCATAATTGGTACAAAAATTTAATAATGTTTTCTTGCCAAATTAAGACACTTGCGCACGTGAATTTTGAAGAGTACGTACAGTAAAAGTTTGTCGGTCTATCCTTTTAAAAAAAATGGTGAATTTATTTATTTTATCTTCAAATTTGTTACCGACATAATTAAAATTTTAAAATATTTATTTTTTCATTTTGTTCTTGGATAATAAATAGAAATACAGACTGCATACAAGACGGCCAAGCCAAACAACTCCTAACAACAGAAACTCTCAAACGCAACATTTTGTGGTCGTCGGAGGACTATGGGTCCCACAGGCTGCGGCTAACCACTCTACGGCCAACGCCGTCGTATCAGCTGAGACCACCACCGGGATTTACGGTCCTATGGTCAGTCCGTTGCCGTGCCATTCAAATTTTGATCGGACAATTTCGGACAAAAAATCTAACAAAGGAATGGTTCGGTGTACCTCACCAGCAATGTCTTCTTCTACTCGTGCAAACACTAAATATGCAAAAATATCATAAGTTTTACTTCTTCTTTTTTAATTCATTATTATTATTTAAGAAAATCAAAGGGTTTTTATATATAGAAGTTTGGAGCGAGACTCTTTTTACATAGGATAAATGTATTTTTTACTGTATTTTTCTTCACATTGTTGCTATTATATCAATCAGAGATCCATATATATTCATTTTTGAATCTATTGTTGACATGTGAAATTCTAAATGATTAGTTGATATGATGCGTTTACAATATATGACCGCATCGTTTTGGACTATTCTAATCATTTACAGATGGAATCCATTAAAACCGGTACCTACATATGAAAACTAAAAAATTTAAACGTCTTCTTCCTACAACTTTTTTCCTTAGAATTTTTTTTAATCTCCACAAAGTCATGCACAGAGTCGAAACTATTGATATATCAATTTTTTTTAGAAACTTTAGCCACCACGAATATATTTACTTATTTAGACCTTAATATATGTATTGTCGGCCACGTTTATGTACATTAACATAGTTATGACTTTTAAGATACATAGGACATTAGAGAATATATACCATACAAAAAGACCCGGAACTCGGAAGTCGGTAGACATTACATATATATAGGATTATTCATAGGAAGAATATGCCGGAATCTGAAGAGCATAATCTTCAAATTTCCTATTATAATATATTCTATAACTTTTGCAGTTAAAACTTATTCTCTTGTTACTTGAATATTAATACAGATGTGCATGTTGGGCTCCTTCTCATGGATGGAGTGTATTTTAATTCTTTATTTCTTGCCTTTAGTATTGATTGTAATACAAAAGTTTTCTATAACCACGTAATTATGAAACCGAAATTAGTTTGAATCAGAAAAACCTGTTACCATTTAAAAATAGACTAATTCAAATAGGTATACCATCGGGAAACTTGAATCTAGAAAAAAGCTGTTGGAGTTCTCGATATGGAGGTTTATTAATTTTAAAAATCTTCAGTAATATTTTAACTATGTCTACGATTCTATAGATATGCGTCAAATTGTATAAGTACAATAAATTGATGATAAATATTCCAAAAGAACAGGAAAGGGTTTCCTTAAGATATGATTAATTAATAGGTCAGGGATGGGTTAAGCTAATGAAAGCAGGTTTGTATGTGACCTTTCGCAGTCACTAAAAGCCTAAACAGCTCTTGATACTTACTTTAGGACGAGATCAAGACATAGGAAATAAAAGCACTCTTACTTTAGGACGTACGAGATCAAGACATAAGAAATAAAGCACCCAATGCTTTTCTTGGTCTACTTCTCGTATTATTAACTAATGTTATATCCATATGGAATATTCCATTAGACCTAATTAGTAATTGTATAATGGTAGTTCATTTTAAACTTATCTACATTTACGTATAAACATATATCTGATGTGAACATTATTTAAAGATTGTGCTAATCTTGTTTTAATCTTCTCTTCAGCCAAGTTTGACATATTGCGATATTAGTCTCGATCGTAGGAGCAAATTTTTAAATCAAGCTTCTCAAGATTCTTTCTTCTGTTCACGATGATGATTAGGTCGAAACCAGTCAAAATGGAAACACTTTTTTTTTAATAAGAAATGTTTTTTTCTGTTAATTATACATTAGTTGTTCAAAAAAAGAGAGAGTTAATTATACAGTCTTACAGAATAAGTATAATTCAACAATATGAACTGTCACACAGCTGCACGTATATAAAATAGTAATTTCATGAGATATTATTCACTATTTTCTAGTGGCGAGAGCATGGCATATTCATTCTTTAACATAGAATTAGAAGAAAAACCTATTGAATTATCTATATAGTTTTATTACTTCCGAAACAAAAAATCATTTTGGATTTGATGGAAGGACGACATCTTATTTTCTAAGTGTTGAGTGCCCTTAAGTCTTCGCATTTGCAGACGATTTGGGTTAATGAGCCCAAAATAGTCTCCGAATGTAGACCAAGCCCGTCTCTAGTCTCCGAATTGAAGATTTGGGATGGTCACTTCATATCTAGGCTCCCTAGAAATTTTAAATTAGTTTTTGAAATATAAAATTTGAAATTTATTTTAGTAACAAAAATGGTTAAATGCCTGAAATAAACTACCAAGTATATAGTCACAATGTTTTTTTTTTTTCGGGGACTTAGGATACATTACAAATTACAATGTTAATATTTCTTGTTTTGCGGACAATTTTGGACAATAAAACGTTGTTTATGTTCAGAGGGAAACAAAATGCAAATAAATTTGATTATATTTCTGATCCTTGTTTTAAAACGCTTAAGTGTTAAAGTCGAAAAAAACGCTTAAGTGTTTAAGTCGAAAAAACGCTAAAGCGTTTGGCGGTATGGAGTGGTCGCGATTGTAACATAATCGGACAAAGATTGGGAAATTTTGAAAATCCAATAGAACCTGTGGACAGTGACTTGTCCTTTTTCTTTCTTAGTTGTAATTGGATGTATTTTCTATAATTCGGGATAAATTAGGAGGAATAAACGGCTCTACATCATTCTATTATTCTATATAATTGTTGAATCCGACTGATAATTTTTAATCTTTAGTGCCTTAATGTAGTTTATAAATTACAAAGTAGCAAAAGTTAATAGTGTGACACTTTCAATTGTTGTTTTTTATAGTTATCTTTTACCGTTATTTCTCTCTTCCAACTATTATGATATTATTTTTATTTTATTTATGTTATTGTGATATTTTTTATTTTCTCCTTTATCGCAAAAAAGTCTAATTATTTTCAGTTACTAATAGATACATTAATTACAGTAGAGAAAGAATATTTAAAACAATTCCATAATACTTTGATGGCCCTATAACAGAAGAAAGAATAATTAATTCCTTGTAATGATCACTACTTTTATAAAATTATTTCCAATTTCACCTACGAACCTTTATACATATATAACATAGTTATTTCAGACAACAATGAAAGTCACGTAAGTATCAAAAACTTCTTTTGTAAATCAACATCCACAATGTTAATTCATACATAGTCGACAATGAGATTCTGACTATGTATGTAATAACAAGGTGAAGGATCGAGGTCGAGGCAGTATTGATATAGATTCAGCTCGTCCTTCACCGGTGCAACTTCATGCCAACATCTTGCTCAAATGAATATTCCATGGACAGTAATCAATTGGTATCGACCTGTGAAAGAACAAAAAAATACACGCATATATTTAGACATATGAAAAAGCATTTGATACAGAAAAAGATTAATGACAGCAAAAACAAAACAAAAACAGAATTGCTTTAGTATCCATGAAGTACACGAGTGTATGTAAATAATACCATTCCACTATGTTGCTTAAGCGTACTAGTTTAGATTTGATTAATTAGTTCTTCGTGATGTAATAGACATATGACAAGCATCTGATATCTTATTTCTGTAAGATATTGAGTTCTGAAAATTTAATATAGTAATCACCTCTTTTTCATGAAAAACAAGATTTAGCAGTTACTATGTCTATAACTCGAATTGATAAATATTATTTAACAAGAAAATAAAATAAATTTCTCGATGGAAGTATGTATTCATGCATGTTAATCACTAACGTATCAGCTTAAAAAAGGATGACCTAAAGCTTCAATTTAGTAGGGTTTTTGGGACGATATTCTCACACCAAGGTTGTTCAATACGTATTAATATTTCGAACTACTAACGATTTTTTTTATTACTAGTTACTCAAAATCTCGTTACTATAAATAATTAAATATGTGATTCATATGAATAACATCAACGTTGGTGTGAGTCATTAGATTTGTATTACTTAAAAAAATGAAATGTACCCGAAATAAACTAGTATTGGTAGTAGCAACAATCTAAAAGTGAAAAACAGTAGCACACATGCTGACATGCACCCGAATCCGAGATTTACGTATCGCAAACGTTAACGAGATTAAATATAATATGTCAAAATTTTCTACATAAACTCAAAATATACGTAGAATGATAAATTTGTAGATAATACTAATTAATACATAACAAAAACATCTTTCAGTCGAGCAAACGAGATAAGTTAAACGTTAATGTAAAGCTAAAAACATTCATCAAGCAAAGAAATATATTTACCGAAAAAAAAAAAAAAAATATATATATATATATATATATATATATATATATATATTTACCGAGCTACTACGATCCGCTTCTTTCCATGCTCGTTTGTTTCTCTTTCTCTCTCGTGGCATTTGAATGAAATGCATCGATCGTATCTTGCTTCTTTTATTCGAAAAAGATATGTCTTGAAGAACTTATAAAAAAGGATCTAGTAGGTCTACTTAAATAGATAAAGCAAAGCTTACTATGTACATGCGTGTTTGGTAGGGAAATTACAATTGTGGTAAAACTTAGGTAGTCGACATATTACAATCGCACGCGACCAGTTCTACTCTTCTAGACACGTTCGCCTTTTATTTATTTTGGTGGTTGGGATATATATGCTCTAACCTCCAACATTTTTTATACTATATTAGCGACATATCATATACGTACCGTATAGTCAAACGGTTACATTTAATAACTACATATATAATATGTTTTATAAATGATGCCATCGATTTACAGTTTATAAGTCTATAACTTTGGTTTGTGTTGATTATATATATATGTTCAAGTATTGTTTGCTTGTAGGTTGTTTTTTTTTTTTAAGGTTTATTCGACCGAATTGGTTCTCTTAACATCAATTCTAAGATTCAAATCGGAGAAATGGATGAAAAGAGAAGCCCGTGATATATATAACTCTTCAATCCATTCAATATCTTCATGTGTATAATTTTTTTTTTCTTTTTTTTTTTGCATCGTAACAGAAAATCAACACATTAACCAATCGACCTCATTAAATAAGAGAAGATATTTCCCTTGTACGAGAGGACCGGGAAGGATATATACATATATAGTATCAAATCTGATGATATGAATGTTCAGCTTAATCGTAAAATCTGCTTACTCGTTATAAATTCCTCAACAAGGAAATTGTGTATCAGGGTATGTATA